AAGAGGAGTACATATTAAATAGGAGAAATCTATTTAGGTCGGGATTACTATTGAGTTTACCTATCAATAAGCCCTGTCTATTTCATATTAAATAGGAGAGGTGTGGACACAGATTAGGATGGTTTTATTCACAAAGTATTAAGGGCAAGACCAAAAGTTAAACCTATTTTTTATCTTTAATTAGGATAGATATGAAGAGGTAAAATTTAATTAGGATGGTTTTTTTGTCCATCTCCCTTTAGCTACCGGACAATGGATAGTTAGAGGGCAAAACATATTAGGTCTTATTTGTGTGGCTGGTCCATGTACTGGGTCATATGATGCTCATATGATCGTCCATATAGACATATTGGACATATAGGTTCTTAAAGTAACATAGATAGGATCCTAATCCAATTAGATCTCTCCGATTCTGACTAAATTGAATAGAAATCTTAACCCCAAATAGAAAAAGATACACTTAGAAATAGACAAAATTTTTATCTTTCTCTCTACCTAATATTAAAGAGCGAAGAAAGCAAGCTGGTAACAGAGACTCGGCTGGCGTCAAACGGGAGATCCGAACTCGGTTTCCATTGCCGATTAGGAAAGACTGTTTAATATATTTGGATAGGAGAGATATTAAGTCTATGTGCTCCTCACTTGGAGAGAAGAGGCAAGAGAAGATACTAGAAGATTAAAGGGAAGTGCACACGTCTTGACCAGAGATAATTGGAGTACATGTTCGACTCTCTTGCATGGCCGGCTAACATATTCAGCCATGTACAAATAGATTAGTCACGCATAGTAAATTACTTCCTCCGTCCTATAATATAGTACATTCTAGTATTCAAAATTTATTTTTAAATATAAGGCATTCTATAAGACAGAAACGGTTTGATTTAAAAACTTTTTATTTATCAACCAATTACCACTAATCTTGTTGATGATAACGTCTTATTGGAAAATAAAGTGATGGCACATACGTCCTTTGTGTTTTCTCTTAATCTGTCTTAAAAATTCTAGTACGGGGTAAGTTTCCTAATAACAAGAGAGTTGTAGAAACTTGTCTGTTAATAAAGAGTTGGAGACGGAAACAGGTCCACAACGCTCGCGCACATGGCCAACACGCTCCTGGATGGCCACACATGTCTCCCCGTGGTCTCGCCCTCGCCGAGTATATTGGTGCCGGGGTCCATGATCCCTCGAGTCCGACCTCCGACATCCTCGCCCACATTGCCAAGGTCGTGACAATGTCGAGGCTGACGACGAGGTGTGGACCGTTGGGTGTTGACTACTGTCGGTTGGCCGTGCCAGTTTCCTCCATCGTCCACTTGGTCGAGGGCCTCGCTCTGTAGTCTTCACAGTTTTTTCTCGGATTGCATGCCTATGTGACATGTACAAAATCTTTTGTGCGTTTGTTGAGGCAGGGCAGGGTACTACACTGCATGGAGAAGCGAGATAGTAGAGGTGTGGATGCCGGATTGCCGGTGGTGAAGAAGAGGGCGACGATCGGGCTCTCGATGACGACGGTGATGGGGGTGGGGTGCTACTCTGTGGTCGTGATGTAGTTTGAGGATGAAATTGAAATAGGAGAGTGAAGGGTCCACGTGCACACGTTGGGAAAGAATCACGGCGATTGAGGGAACTCATTTTTTTATTGATTGATTGAGTTCCGGTGATTATGGGTTCTGGTTTTTCTTGATTGATTACGTGCACGATTTGCTTGATCGGACGAGGCACGATAGGGCGGGGAAGACTTGTAAGTGGAGTTGCATGTTTCTGGAAGATTTTTCGGAATTCATCGGGTCCGGCCGGACCCGATTCTCCCGCCGAACAGTCTGTGCCGGGAACCAATCGCGCGGGAAACCGCGAGTCCGCGACGCGCGGGAGTCAGCGCAGGGATAGAAGCGACGTACGGTTACGTACGCTTAGCCAGGTACGTTAGTTTCCCTTTTATCTTTCCTTTTTCCTTATTTCTTCTCTTTTCTTTTCTTTTTTCCCTTTTTTCCTGTGATTTTCTTTTCTCTTTTTCTTTTTATATTTTTTATTCCATGTTTCTTTTCTTTATGTTTTTATTTGATTAATGTTGTCTATTTTTTTATCTTCCTTTACTTTTTTCTTTTTTCTTTTTTTCTTTTTGTGCTTCATTTATTTTCCATTTTTATTTTATTTTTTGTTTTATTTTTTTATTATTCTTTTCATTTTTATATTTTTTTATCTTTCTTGTATTTCCTTTCCTTTTCTTATTATTTTTTCTTTCCATATTTTTCTTTTTGTTTTCTCATTTCATGTTTTTTTCATTATTCTTTTCATTTTATGTTTTCATTAATTTATTTATTTTTTGTTTTTTACTATAATTAATTATTTTGTTTGTTTTATTTTATTTAAATTTTAAATTTTATTATTTTTCTTTTTTTTTTCTTTTCTATATTTTTAGTATAGTGTGATGTTCTGTGATGTATTTTACGATGTTTACGTAATATACATGTGATGTTCTGTGATGTATTTTATAATATTCATATAATATACATGTGATGTTCACATAATATACTTGTAATGTTCTGTGATATATTTTTATGATGTTCTATAATTTATATGGTGATGTTCGCATAATACATATGTGATGTTTTTGTTATATTTTGTATGTTCATATAGTATATATGTGATGTTATATGATATTTTTTATGTTCACTTAGTATAGATGTGATGTTTTATGGTGTATTTAGTGATGTTCATGTAATATATATGCGATGTTCTCTAATGAATTTAGTGATGTTCTATGACGTATTTTATGATGTTCACTCAGTATATATGTGATGTTCTATAGTATATATTTTTAGAATGTTTAAAAGTTATCCATGTGACGTTCTTTAAATTTTTTCCCTATTACGTGTTTTCATTTTTTTCCCTTATGATTTGCTCTAGCTTTTATTATTATTTATTTATGTTATGTATTTATTATTTATTTTTATTTTTATTATAATACTAATTTTATGAATCTAAAACTTGACTATTGTTCTTCTAAATCAAAAATATTTTTTTATAAAGACGGAACATTATTCTCTGAACCTAGAACATCGTGTCTCCTCAATAAAAGAAAATGTTCCGTCTTCATAAGATAAATGTTCGTTAATAAAATTTTATCTAAATATATCAATGTGGGGTCTTATTTGAAGGATTTATTGCAAGAAATTTGATGGTGTAATCGAAATTTAATTTGAATTTTTGTTTAGGAGTTATGACTTTTTTAATTCGTTAAAAGTCATTTGCATGCGTGTCAAAGTTGGGCCTGTGCGACTGTGCAGCATCCGTCCCGCTCACGCTACAACATCACCAGTCACACACGCACACTGACGCGCGCTACAACATCGGTCTCTGCGAAATTTTGGCACGGGAAATTTTGGCGCGCGCTGTCGGCCGGCGCGGGCTACCGTCCGATTATTCGGACCCTAGCAGCTCCGAGAATTTTTACTACACTGACAGATGAACTTAAGAGACCTTGTGGAAACCGTGACGGACGTGATGGACGAAGACAGGGCCAGTGGCACGCGCCCCGTGCAATGGAGAACCACCCGTGGCCCGTGCATGACTATTTGGGTGAAGATGAACGACTAACCAGTGTATCAATACATGTTATCGTCGAGGGTGTCAATACATGTTGTTGTCGATGGATTCAAAGATGACATGAAGGTGTTAACAACTTAAGAGCGAAAATAACGACTCATTGCATCGCACAGACATATTTGCTAGTGTATATATATAATATTAATATTTATAATATATAATTAATATAATGAGATAGATCGTGGAATATATTTTTATAATAAAATTATTTAGAGATATAAATACTGCACATATTTTCTATTAACCTAGTTAAAGTTAAGAAAGTTTGACCTGCACATATCTCATCCCGTAACGACTTTTATTTTAGAATGGGACGGAGGAGCACTAGACGAGACCGCTGGGAGTGCCGAGACGAGGCCATCCGCAATCATCAAGGACCACATCTGCTGAGCACATGCTTGCACCTTCCCTCCGTACCAGTACCAATTGGTTCATCAGAAATGAGAAGCCACAACTAGAGCCACTGACTGCGAATCAATGGGACTCCTTGTGGTAACTTGCTCATACAACATCCTGGTTTTCTGTCTAATTATTACTTAGCGGCAAACGACACTGCTAGACAGCTATAGTGACTGCCAATCAAAGATCTTAAAGACAGTTTATAGGAGTACAGTGCCTGCATACGTTCACCAAAAGTGCACATGGTAATAATGATGCTAAGCTTCAGTACGTCTTTTATAAGTTCCAAACAAAGACAGTACTGTGTAGTCATCCAATCATGCAAAAATGGCACGAACCCTCCTAAGAGTGCAGATGTTTCCACAAGTTGGATACCATGCAAACAATGGGAGTGCATAATAACCATTTCCAGATAAACAGCCTACGCCAACCGCAGGCGCGCTTTTACTATCCAGATATAAACAGCCTACGCCACCCAGACACACTTTTACTAATTATTCCTATCCAGATAAACAGACTAGGACACCCGCAGGCATGCTTCCTCCGACGCAGTGCATACAGAAATAACAATCAGAGCAAGAACAGCTAAGCTCAGGAGAGTTGTCTATTGGCAGCAACACAAGTCCATGAATCAACGGTCATCATATGGATGGATGTATCTCCATGCGGAGTGGTAACTAGTACAACTGGACTCCATTCAACGACAAACGAATAAATAAATAACTCGGTCCTATTAGCACCAAAAGGCAATTGCAAAGAAACCAAAAGAAAGATGGCCAAAACTAGGACACCAACTAATCTCAGTTCGATGATTAAGTATGGTACAAAACAGGTGCCAGTCAAAAGTTACCAAAATCTATTGTGACATCAGAACATTTATAGTCCGTAATCATTTGGATGCCCATATACAAAAATGCCACAACTTGTCTGAGCACATTGGGGGCATTAGCTTACCGGTGGCAGACTGAATAGCATCAGTGTTCAACAGAGACAAATCATTCCCTCTTTTCTGGTTTCTGGACCTTGACATAAGGCAAAAATCCAAGAAGGTGTGTGATCCGCGGCTCCCACCCACGTTGCTGAGCCCGACAAAACATTAGGAATGTGTTTGCATAGTATGAGTTGAGGCCCATAAGCACATGCCACCATGCGTGCCCCTGCGGGTTGACATACCAATGTGAAAGCTTTTTACAGAAGATGCGATCAACTAGCCAGCAGAGAGTCCCAAGGGTTAATGTAAGAACCCACAGCTTTGCAAGCCGCTTCGCAGCCACATCTTTTGTCTGTATGTAGTACTTGTACATCCGGGGGATGCAGAGCAAGCAGAGGCCAATGTAATGCAACTTGAATACAAGTTGGAACCGGGCAAAGAAATGAACTACAGCAAAGGCAGCACCATATAGGAAAAGGAAAGTTGGCATCGTGCTCCTGTAATGCCAGTCCGGTGAATAAAGGACATACATATAAAGGAGGATCTCCCAAACCATCGGAGTCTCATCACTCTGTTGTAGACTGGAAAACAGAACGTCGACAAAGCAGCATGTTACCAAAAAAGAATATGTTGCACAAAATAGAGTAAACATTATGGAAATTAACTACTAGATGACTAAACAGGTCACAGAGGTAGGAAGTTTATGAAAACATCCAACAGTGAGCAGTATACTAAAAGTTCAGTGCCCCCCCCCCAAACACACACGCACCCACAAAAGGTGATGAGCCGGCAAATTACAACCCTTCACACTCCTAAAAGGCAGAGAAACCCTTGAGCTTTGAGTATGGATTCTAGTCCTCGTTTCAGGCAGGCAATATAAAGTTAAACAGATCCGTCCCAATTTCGTTCTCTATGCTGAGTGAAGTATATAGCAAAGGTCAAAATTAACCATTGTTACTTGTTAGTTTTTTTCTGTCATTCGATACACTCAATGATTGGTCAGGCTGAAGCTGCCAGTTGATCAATCATAAGAGATGACTAGATTACCTTAGTTTTTTTTTCATGAAACTGTTGATGAAGATTGATTAGAAGCAGATACAACAAAATAGAACAAAAGCAGATCTTTCAACAAATGCGGTAGACAAATGCTGAGATTTATCAATGGACATCAGAACAGAGAGAATTTTGGGCATCACAATCACAACATATGCCAATCGGTGTGTTGGTCAGCAAGTGCATCAATATATTTCAAAAAATGGAACCATATGTGCCAAAATGGAACACAAAATTTATGCACTTAGAGGTACTTTCTGCAGGCATGTGCATGCAAAGTGTATTTGGTGCGTCCAGGGAGCCGTTAACTTAAGAGGTAGATCAGGAACCATTTTTTGCACAAAATAAACCCAAGAATCCGAAACGGAAAAAATAAACAGCATAACACAAGAAAGAATACTGAACATCTAAGCAATATACCAATGTTTTACAGACAATTTCACCTATCTTTGTTTGCGAGCTAGAATTTTTGTTCAGGAGAGCTATGCTTTCAGGGTCTAGAGTGGAAATAACTTCTTGTGCATGCTACTGCTGAAAGACCTGTGCCAGAAGTTGACACACTACTCTAGCACATGGACTGATGTCAATCAAGACATTATGAAGAAAAACACTCCTGAGAAAGCTTGTGCAGTAACAGAATTGTTGTAATCTGTGACTTTTTTTGCACAAAAATAGAAGACCAGTGCAAACGCTACATTCTGAGCCCACTGTGCAGCGCCAAATGCATGTGAAGACTGCAATGCGCGTGACAAAAAGGGAAAGATTGCACAAAAAGAGCCCAACAATGCTATGTTCCATGTCACCCAACGGCCTTCAGCTCAACACAACAAATTGCGCTAAAATATGTAGCCTTGCAGCAACAAATCTTAAATCAGCAATTCCTTGGTGGTTTTGACAGAATGCACGCAAAGTTCACCCAAGTGTAGGTGCACCCACCATATGCATGTGTATTCACCATATAAGTCACTCAAAAATTCAAGTTTAGCCCCCTAGTAACTTAATATTGCTATGCCCCCACCCCCAAATGTTTTTTTCCTGGCTTCGCCGCTTAATGGGTATCTCAATATTCTGAAACTTCATCTACTGAGTCTGCACATAATCCAAGAGATAGATATCTTCCGGTTTTGAGTCAAAATATATAATATTAGAAAAGGTTGCACAAAATAAAAGGAGAGAGCCAACTGTGCAATGAATTTTTTTTATATATAAAAAACTATGAAACATTGGATCAGTTCCATATCTATAATTCTACAGAGAAAAGCAAACAGATGAATACTCAGGAAAGATAAATAATGCAGATGTTCTTGATGAAGCATCAAATCTAGAAGCAATAAATGAGAAATCTCCTTACAGTTAATGGCTAACACACTTTTATTTATAACAGATGAACAGCTCATCTTCTGTGCACTTTTATACGCAAAACGGCTAGATGGAGAAATAATTTCCAGTCTTATGCCAATGGCCCTTTCCCAAAATGGTATCGACAGTTCTAACTTTAATACATACATACCCCCTCCAGTAAAAAAATACTTGTCACATTTGACTAATGGTCTTTGATGCATATCTTTGACTTCTAGAGTATATTCGTAAAATCCTTCAAAATTATGAGAATTTGCAAGTATTTTTTTAATATGAATTACATGTTTCCAAACTCAATAATTCAAAAATTATTCATGTTTGTAATTTTTATTAAGGTTTGACCAAATCTTGACTTAACCGACATGTTTTTGTGGCCGGAGGGAGTAGAGAAAAACATATAGGTAATTAATTAATAACGTATAACACCAAGAGAAGGTATACCATGGCAAACAAACAACACAAGAATACAATGCACAAGGCCATTCCATAATGTCCTGAACTCGATCAAGTGCATTGGAGAAAAGAATAAGCTCTAGTTATAACAGTTTCTCAAGTAGGTACCAGTAATCACAAGGTTAAAAGTGTCATTTCACATAAACATAAAGAAGTTTCGATTTAAGAGAGAACTTACAGAAGTTGCAAGGTGGCATGGAAAATCATACTCCCAATAGCAAGTATCATATTGGATATGTGAAGGACACTGAACCGTTTCTCAAAACCTTGGCGGAAAGCATTCACTAATCCAATAAGCGCCAAAAGAACGCATGGGACATTAGAGATGGTATTGTAGAATTCTGCGATATACGATGAGTGTGCATAATTCTCCTCGCACAACTCAATCGTTGATGTAACAGGCCCCCAGAAGCTCGCTACCATTGAATCCGCCATTCTTAGCTCTTGATTTGCTACCCTAGCAACAGCCTATGTCACCAGAGTTGGAGGTCAATGCGGCTGGTGCTAAATCATGAGTGCACCAAAGAAATAATCTGCAACGATGATATACAAATCAGGGTTCCACATATGAAATTATTCAGACAGCTTAATATGGGAGCAGCAGTTTCGCACAGTAGGGCGTCATACCTTGTGGTCAGGGAGGATGGAAGGCGGCGAGCGCGGAGAATGGACGTCGGCGTCGGCGTCGGGGAGGCCACGAGGACGCGACGGTGGGGCGCCCGAGATGCGTCGGCAGCGGCTGTGCAGGGGACGGGGGCGAGCGGCTGGCGGAGTGTTGGCCGACGTTGAACAGGGCGTCGGGGAGCCTCCCGGCCGGCGATGGACAGGGCGGCGGGCGGGATTCGCCGGGGGAGGACGGAGCGGCGGGATCTGGATCCGGCGGAGGAAAGCGCAGGCCGCGGCGGAGGAAGCCCAGCACCGGCGGAGGACCTCCCGATCCGACAGATGGGAGGTCCGGCGACGGGCCTGGGGCGGCGGTGGTGGTGGGGACGGAGGCCGGCGACCCGGGATGGGGGCGGACGGGAGGAAGCCGCGCGCCTGCGGGAGAAAAACGAAGAGAACGAGCAGACTTTTGGATAGTCTGTTTTGGCCCAACACGACTAGCCAACGGAGGCCTAATAAATACTAAATTCGTTTTAAATTATAGTTTGTTTGATTTTTTAATTTTAAATTTGATCACTTGTTTTATTCAAAAATTTATAAAAATATTATTTTTTTATTGTAACTTGCTTTATTAATAAAAGTTCTTCAACAATGACTTAAATTTGACTATATTTACATAAATTTTTTTAATAAGACGAGCAGTTAAACATGAGGTCTAAAAAAGTTAAACGAATTATAATTTGGAACGGAGGGAGTAGTCTGCAGTAGATTTTTATTTGTCTTTCACTACCTAAATTGCGGATAGGTAGTGGGATAGTTAGCAGGGTTCCTACTTAAGTCTCTATAGCTAAATATGAGGGCTCAGACCGAAAAACATACTCCAGCAAGACTACTACTCAGGTCTCGAAAATTGAGTGTGCAAATAAATCCATCCTTCAGTCCTCATTACTGGAGGCTCACCCCTCGGACCCTATCCTGCTATCTGGTTGTTTACTCTCGCGACGTATGGAATCGCGGTTCCTCCCCTCCTCGAGGTGTACCCCCCCCCCTGAAGCGCGGCCCCTCCCATCCGGCGAGCGCCTCCCTCTCCACCTCAAGCGTGAGCTCAAGGTAGCGACCTTTCTCCTTCCTCGTGCTGCCACCAAAGGAGCGGATCCGGTCGCCTTTCTCCGGCGAGCGTGGCCGGCCGCCCTGACCGTCCATCGCCCGCGCGGCCACCGGAGGAGCGGATCCATCCACATCCTCGGTGCCTCTAACTCGTTGCTCGTGGCCTCCACCCCGGCGCCCGCGGTGATGGCTTTCCCATCGGCTGCCTCTCTCTCTCTCTCTCTCTCTCCTTCGGCAATCGCAGCCTCGACGCCTCGGCCATGCGCTCCTCCCCGCGCCCGGCCATACCCTCCTCCCCACGCGTGCCTATGTGCCGAGGTAAGGAGAAGAGAGGTTTGACCCAATGACGAGTGGGTCCCCCATGTCATTGTCAGCTGATACGTATTTGGGGTGAGTGCCCAACTGTGATGAAGTGAGTGGCCAAGTGCCTGAATGGCTCATTACTTATGTGGCAGAGTGATTGGATTGAATGACCGAGCGGTCAAGTGATTAAATGGTCCACTGCTTAAGTGGCCGAGTGATTGGAGTGACCGAGTGGTTAAGTGATTGAGTGATTCACTACTTAAGTGGTGTCGATGAAATATGGTCGGCAGTCTATCGATGGGTATGTCCACGGTAGTAGATGAATTGGTGGAGGTGCGCGAGATACGAACTAGATGGTGACACAGAACATAGAGACAACGATTTAGACAGGTTCAGGCCGTCAGCTTGACGTAATACCCTACGTTGTGTGTCTTTGGTGGATTGTATTATGAGATGAGATAAAAATAAGAGGGGTCCCTACTCGCCTTATATAGCTCGGGGTAGGGTTACAGGTCGGTTGAATCTATTCTGATCGGTTTACATGATAGGAATTACAGAGATTGCGGTATCTTAGCATATTCGAACAGATTTTTCTTGATCGCCATGGATCTT